AATTTCAGCCTAGATGAGTAGATACATTTCTGTTAAGTGTCCAACACCGAATATTTCGGACTGTATATGATGGACATGATGAGAATATAAGCTCAAAAGCAGTGGTCGTGACAAGTAAGGAGCCATCAAGCTCACAAGAACGATATCAACGACTTCATAGTACTTGGTCCGCTTGACACGGGTATATGATTGGCGAGGAGAGCTGGTGGGGCCGATCAAGCTCTGATGTAGCACGCCACTGGAGGTATAAAGTAGACAACGCTGCTAACACTTCAAATCATTCGTCTAATTGCGAGCTTTTGATGCCCCTAGTTTACTTGATTGATGTCCCCATTTCCGATTTTTCGATACTCCCTTTGCTTGTAACAAGTAGGGATTGGAAATGTGCAGGCCTAAATTTTCCGTAATTAAACCGAACTGAACTGGACAAACGTGGCACAGATGCTCATCAGGCCAGATGGTAAATTCGTTTACCTCCAGACTGAGAATTGGGCTTCAGTATCTCCTTTAGGTTGTAGTCGTTAAGAAAGTTCCCTTCAATAATCTCATTCGCAGAAGAAATCTCATCAAAAATGTCAGAAATGTCCCCTGTCGTGTTTACTCCGACCAGTTTAGTTCGTTCTCAGTTCTTATGTTTCGGATGCAAAATAAGAACATTCATAAGATTCATTTAAACGAATGACTATAAAAGATGCCTGGTAATTTACTTTGAAAAAATGTCTCAGAGATTGTTCGGTATTTCGGAGAATTTATTTTTGATAAAACGGTTCAACTGCAGTTTAGTATCGGGAATATACTGATGGTGAAACTTAGCACTGAGAAACGGGAAGTCTGCACAAATGGTTTTTTCAGCCCATCTTGGTTGCACCAATGACTACAACGGCCAACGTCCAAGGGTGTGTAACAACGTAAAAATATCCCTTAAAAGTTATATGTTGAAGGAAACGTCATTTCTTTATGAAAATAACAGAGTCAAAGGGAGCAATTTTTCCGTTTGAATCGCATAGAAACAGCCTTATATATGTGAGTAACTAAAAAGACCACACTTGCCAGCATAGAACAACAAGAGGACGATAAGAATTGTTCACTGGATGGCAACGTAGGAGCAAACATACAAACAAACGCCGAAAGTCTAAATGTGTGGTCTGGACAAAGTTCAAAGAAGAATTTTGAAGTAATGTGTTGGAAGGTGCATCTAATGGCAAACGTTCAAAAGTTCATGAAATCAAAATCCCTACAATTATGGAGCGTCAGTTCGAGAACTGATCGTTCGACGTCCCACTTAGCCCGCGATGAGTCTGGCTTGACGGGGTTTGGCAGATGCAGACCGAGCTTACTGAGATGGGAAAAATGATAAACCATATACTCTACTATAAGCACACGAATACTAACAAACAAAAACCTTGAACGGTTGGAATTTTGAAAAA